TGCAATTACATATAAAGGTTTGGGACTTCACCTGCAAAAATTAAAGGTTTGGGTGTAATCTGCAACAAAATGAAAGGTTTGGGACCGCGGCCGCAATTTTCCCTAAGGAAAATACACACAAAGTTATATGGGAATCACGCTAGTGGACACACTAGCACAGAAAGCCCTGAAACAAGGATATTACTGGCCAAACATGAGACAAGATAGTACACGTTTTGCCAGGAAATTCTTAAAGTGTCAAAATGTTGCATCAATACCACGAAAACCTATGCGAGAACTGATTACCCTTAGCCTTTTGTTGGAATTTTGCCTAGTGAAAGGTCTAATATGAGATTCATAATAATTAAAGTATATTATTTCACTAAATGGGTAGAAGCAGAGCCCCTCAAGAGCATCACCAAGGCTTATACTTGTAAGTTTATATGGAAAAATATTATATGTCGATTTGAAATGCCGAACTCTATAGTATAAGATAATGATATGCAATTCCAAGGGAAAAAGTTGAGTCATGTATAATGAATTGGGAATTCGTAGACACTTGTTCACTCCATAATATCCCTAAGCTAATGGACAGGTAGAAGCAGTAAACAACATATTGAAAAGCATTTTGTAAAGAAAGCTCCACAAGGCAGAAGGATTATGGACTAATGAGTTACCACTATTCTCATGGTCAAATCGCACCACCGCCAAAACTGCCATGGGAGAAAATCCTTTCTACTTGTCCCATGGGATGGAGGCCATAGTTCCAATTGAAATTGGCCTTAAGTTTGGCAAGGAAAATAGGTTACAACAGAGAACGGAATGAAGACGTTATCAACATGAGCTTAGATATTATGGAAGAAAAATGAAATGATTACCAAATGAAGCTCGCTATATATCAAAGGAAAATGGAAAGAAGGTTCAATTCTAAGGTTTGGAGAAAAAGGTAGGAGATTTGATTTTAAAGAAAACTTTTGTCACGGACAAAGAAACAAATTCAAATTCATTAGGCTTGAAAATGGAAAAGACCATACATAGTAGTTGAAGTATATTGGTCAAGAACATAGAAGCTCACGGATGAATATGGCAAACTCCTTAAACATTCCTGGAATGGAATGTACTAACAATGAAAAGTAAATCCAAGAAAATTAAACTCTTAAGCTAATTGTTAAGTAAAAAGCTCAACTAGTTATAATATCGCGAAGTCCTTAGTCAATTCAAGCATAAGATAAAAAACTATCATAAACAAAAAATTGGAATTTTTTTATGGATGTAAAGAAAGGTTACAAAATCGAACAAATACATTCATATGAAAACTAATCGTACACTAGGTAATACATTTCATGGTTATTTCTAACTTTTGGGGTCACTTGAATCATGATGGACAAATTGAAAGCGTTTTGGTGGAATCAAATTTGGCAAAATGAAATGTGATTATCTGATAGCTCATGGTGCAGCAGTCAATCAGGTTCAACACCTCTACATCTTGGGTAATTTCTCCTAGATGCTTATATGTGGAAAATGAAAAAAATGGCAAATGTGCCATCTTCTAAATTATTTCCACCAGCTTCTGAATCATAGTTATTTAATAATAACATGGCAAATGGAAGTTATGTTAATCTCAAAGTTTTGTTCAATCATATGATCTCTAGTTCAGAGAATTCAGGAGTACATATCAAGAAAGTACAATGAAATCAAAAGAGACTAATCTCTTTCGTTGATGTCTGTGAATGATAAACAGAATAAAAGACAAAATGTGTCTGAATGTTGCGATTTTTTGTTGTTGAATGCTGAACAGAATATATAATCATGCTGAACTCATTTGGTTATGACTATATTCTGTAGCTAAGTTTTTGTTCGATTTTTGTTCAATAATTTTATTTGCTATATTTTATTGATGAACAGTGGACTTCAAGCAATAAATCGGTGCCATTTCAGAATTACGATTTTACACACAACATTTCAGAGTCAAAAACGTGATTTTATTTCATTTGTTTGATTAATTTTCGTACTTGTTGCCATTTCAGAGTTTGGTTATATATTTCTATTTAATTTGTTTTATTTCTCTCTGTCTGTCTCTCTCTCTCTCTCCTTTTTTTTGGGAAATGACTTGACCATTTTACCCTTCTCATTTTAAAATAAAATTGACCCCATGTGTGTATTTAATGGTAAAACTAACGGCTAATGGTTAGAATGGCCTTTTTCATAATGAAACTTGGAAATATGGATGAAAATGTAAAAATTTAGACATAGGGACATTTTGCACACTAAAGACTAAACATACAGACATGTTGTGCCAATAAGCCGTTTTAAAAATTAAGATCATGGTAGTTTCATTTTATATTTGAGGATTTTTATTTTCGAATGCAATAACCATGTTTATAATATTTGTTGTAGAAAAATTTCATACATGAATATTTAGCCCTTGTTTGGCTTCCATTATAATGAGAATTTGGAAAAAAAAATGTATTTTGGAATGTAATTTTTTGGATAATGTATTGTTAAGAAAGAGCAAAAAGTTTTGAGTTTACTTGTAATATTATTTTATAAAAAAAATGTATGGTTGATAAGAAAAAAATAAATTATAATTTTAATGGACGTGAAGGCTTCGCATTTGGATGCAGGGCTGTCCGTAGGTCGGTTCGGTTCTGAAGAGACCGGAACCGACCCAAAACTTTCGGGTATTTAATAAATGAACCCGTCGGATTAAAATATAATTATGAAACCGTTCAAGTTCGGTTCCATTCGGTTCGGTTTGGGTCGGTTCGGTTCGGTT